CCCCGTCCCCACCGCCCGGCTGCAGCGGCTGCTCTGCTTCATGCAGCTGATGCAGGGTGGGAGGGGACGGTGACTGTCCGGGCTGCCTGTCCCTGCCTGCACTGCCTGCCCACGGTGCAGCACCTCCGCCGGGGCCGGCTGCAGCCGCCGGGGAGGTAAATCAAAGGACGACCGTGACCAGCGCAATGGGAGCCGTGCACAGGCTGGGGGGGCCATCTAGCAAAGCGTGCAGCACTTGACATTTCAGTGTAATTGTTGGCTCCTACAGAACAGCCCATTAAGTTCAACCGCAAATTACTGCTGCTTGTGTCTAATGCAGCCTGTCGTCCACCCCCGCGCCTGGCAGGAGGCGGCATTAACCCCGGGGTCCTCTGGCACTCCCGAGCGGTGCCGTCACCCCTATGAAGGGCTGTGCCACGGGTCCCCTCCTCGCCGTGAGGGGCTGACCTGCCGTCCTGCCCGAGCCCCGCGTCTGCTGCCTCGCCAGACCCGTGGGCGCAGGGGGAGCTCTGCGCCGGCAGCGGTGCAGCACAGGGCTGCCCAGCCTTGCCCTAAGAAAAGCCCATGCATACGGACCGGTGGTAGCCGCTTTTATTTACACAAAGGGATCACATGCTGAACAAGGAAACTAGTGCCACTAAAGTACCCGTAACAGCAGGATTCTGTGCTTTATTCACAGGACAAAATATCAGTACAACATTTTTCATAGACTTCTTTTTCAAGCAGATACATCTCACTGTCCTCATGGTTACACACTGCGCTTAAGTGACGAAAGGCAAAGCGGAGTGGCCGGAGCTCTGCCTGCCCCACCACCATGGTGGGATGTGGACCCACAGGGACAGCCCCGCGGCCACTGCCCGCGGTGACGGGAGTCTCCGGGAGCGCCCGTTTGCTTTGGGACACAGAGGAGGGATGTGCCTTGGAGCAGCCTGCACGTAGGCTGCAGGATGGGGCCATCACCATGGCCCCGGTGACCACGTGGCAGTAAAAGCAAATGGGACCCCACGGAGCGAGCCACGGCACTGCTGACCTGCTGGGGCGGGCAGCGCCTGCTGGGCACGCATCCCTCAGTGGCTGCGGCGGGACTCTGTGTCTTCCCCCACCTCGGCTCACCCTGGAGCACACTGGCCTCCCGAGGGCCGGGGAAGCCCCTCGCCCACCTCTGCTCGTGGATTCTGGGCAGGACAGGCTGGCCGGGGGGTCCCGGCTCCAGCCCTCCTGGGCCCCCCTCATGGAAGACTGCAGCCTCACGTCACCGCAGCTCTGCTCCCAGATGCTTATTCCCACCTGAAGTCCTGCCCGACTGTTTCATAGAATTTGATATTATAAGGTCTATAAAAGTCCCGAAGCTGCTCGATCACCTCAGGGTCTATCTGCACATGAGTCCTGCCTTTGGACTTGCCCAGGCAGCGAGGCAAGCCGCTGCTCTCTGACTTTTTCAGGCAAGGAAAGCCTTTTGTCTTGTTGAAGTAGAAGTGCTTGTCTGTGATAACCCGTTTGATACCCAGGAAGTCCTGGACTTTGCCCATCTCCCCGGCCGGGTCTGTGATCAGCTTCTCCCCGCTGACAAAGTGGATCTGGGAGAGAGGGAAGTACTGGAGCCAGCTCTCCAGGTGCACAGCGTACATCCCAATGCGGATGGCGTTCCAGGACGTGTCCACCAGCCCCAGGCTGCGGTTGCGGAAGGACAGCCCCTCGAAGGTGGGGATGTCCGGCTTCTTGGAGAGCGTCTGTGTGTAGTCCGAGATGGCCCGGGTGACCGGGTTCCTCACCACCACGATCAGCTTTGTGTCCCGGGACATGTTGAAGATCCGCCGTGGTGCCTCCTTGGTGACAAAGTAGCTGGGAGTCTTCTCCACTGTGATCTGGCTGTCAAGCGTTCGTGGCATCAGGCTCCTGCAAGCGAAGCAGAAGGTGATGGTGAGGAAGGAGCCGGGCCAGGCGCAGCACCGGGAGGCCGTGTCCCCAGCGTGGGGCTGGCAGGGCGTCCCCTCCCAGCAGGACAAGACAGGCACAGTTCCCTCCTGCAGGGCTGCAGAGGGCACCCGGCCACCGCTGGCTCCGGGGTCTGTCCCAGCCCCAGGGGATCCCCTGTGCAGAGGATGGGGGCACCGGCAGCCCCGCTGGCACAGCAAGCGGAGATGCTGGGCTCCCAGGGAGGGCAGAGCCGGGCAGGATGGAGGGCAAGGGCATGGCCAGACTACCGGGGACCTCAGGGCTGTGTGGCAGCCGGGGCCGCTCCATCCTCATCAGTGGTGAAGTCATTATCATCGTAAGGAAAGTGCCTGAGCTCAGCCTGCAGCCGGGAAGGGGGTCCTACCACCCGCCCCAGTCGCTGGCACAGGCGCGTCACCCAGCAGACAGTTTCTGCCGGAGCCTGTGCTCAGCCTTTCATCCCCCGTTCCTACACCAGCTGCCATCTGCAAAAGAAATTACAGCGGCTCCTTCCGCAATTACCGCAATTACGCGGCGTCTCTCCTCCCCAATTGCATTATGGGGCACCCCGGCTCCCATGCACCCCCGTGCCGCCTGGCACCGCCACGAGCGCAGCGCCAGGGCGGAGGAGGATGCCAGCCCCGGCGTGTGCCAACCGCCGGCACCCAGCGAGAGGGCAGCCCCCTCCTCCTTCTGGAGGTGGGCAGAAAATCAGCGCTGCCTGCACCCAACCTTTGTGCCCGGGGATGGCAAAGGCTGCCGGGGCCGGGATGCAGGAGCGTGGCGGCGCTGAGAAG